AAACCTTTCCTCCGCTTGTAGACGGTTTTCGTACTTACCTATCACGGGCACCTACCTGCTGCGAGCGTAACCCGCAATCTCCTTTCGCTTGCTGTTCTCCCTTCATGCGTACAATGCCAGGGTTAAACGGCCATCTTCCTACCGCCAAAAACGTTGCTCGCCTTCGTTTGGGTACTTGTCCACCGTGCTGGTGTCCCCTTACCCTTAACCATAGGTCAGCCTCGTTAAACGTGTCCCGTACATTCTCTTCATGGTCGGTTTCTTCACGGAATCAGCCCGAAGTTAAAACATACCAGACCGCTGTACCGCACGCATTTGCCCCGTTCAATTGTAGTTCAACACGTCCTTGGATCGGCTCTTTAAAGGACCACTCCTACAGTAGGTAAATCAGTCCTGATCTCCCACGCAGCCTACGTGCGTGCGCATGGGCGGATTACACGTTCCCGCACTTCCACGCTCATCCTACGGATGAATGGAGTAGAATAATTGGTAGGTAAGCTTTTCCTCGGCTTGCTGATGGCTTTCGTGCTTCCTATTACCGGGCCCCTACCTGCTATGAGCACCGCTCGCAGTCTCCTTTTCACTTACTGTTTTCTACCCATGCGAACGCCGTAAGGGTTAAACGTCAATCTTCATACCGCAACGAACCTTGCCCGCCTTAACTAGATTACCCGTCCACCGTGTTGGTGTCCCTTTACACTAAACCATAGGCCAGCCTCTTTGAATTTGTTCGCTCCGTTCTCTTGGTGGTTGGTTTCTTCACGAAATTAGCCCGCATTTAAAACCTTCAGAGACGCTATACCGTACGTATTCGTCCCGGTCGATTGCTTTACGGTGGCGTACGTCCTTGGGTCGTGCCTTTAAAGGGACACTCCCACAGGAGTGTCATTGCCTACAACGTTGCCTTTATGCGAGTGCATCTGCGAATTTAAAACACCCATCGGTCCGCGTGCCGTCTACGGGCGTATGGAATAAGAGGCCGGTAAGCTAAGCCATAAATTAGCTTGCTGGAATCTTCCGCACTTGCCTTTCTCCAGCATCTACTCGCTACGAACACTTTCTGTTGTCTTTTTTCAAGTACTTTTTACCGTCCATGCGTACGGAGCTATGATTGCAGCTCATTAGCTTTCAGGCGGAACACCTTATTTACCTTTCTTGTCCTTTTTCGGATCCTCGTTGACCTGCTATGGCTCCGCCCACTTTTGCTTTAATAGCGCGCTCTTACATATTGTGCAGAATTAAGTCTTAACAGTACACTATTATTTTACTTATATCAAATTTTTATCGAATTCACAATCACTCCTCTGCGTTTTTTCTTTCCTGTTTGTCTTCCCTCGCGTCTGCGGATGGCGGAGTCCTTGCCATTCTTTTGCTTAATGGGTATTTCAGTACATATGAGGCCAAACAGTATTACCTTTTCCTGTTTCCTGTCGCATCATTAACCCTCTTGGCTTTCCTCACCCTCCGGGGACTTTCGCTTGAGTTTTCTCATATGCCTACAGATAGGTTCTTTCAGCTTGCGATATACTTTCACACTTCGCAGTTCCGTCTTACCTGTTGCCGATTCTACAAAAAACTCAATTTACGCACATTACCTTACCCTCACTCCCAAATGTGTTTGGTGGCTCCTTATTTGTCCTACAGTCACAGCCCGCGGTTGATTGGCTACTTCTGGCCACCAGGGGAACACAACATTGCGGGTTAGGCTCTGCAACATAAAGGGTGTTCAACATTCACAAGTTACTTACCTAGGTTATTTTTGTCTAGGTCTACTTTCTTTCCAACGTCGAGTTCACATTCCCCGCTGGCTGCTCCTACCTGGTTATTCGGTACACCAATACCTGCCAGATGTTGACCGTCCGTGGGCATTAGCGACAGGTCTTCTCGTTCTACAGACATCGTTTTAGTTCTTCTCTTGTAACGGACTTACGGGGACGGCTAGATGGGCCTGGGCTTCCGGCCCGTGCCTCCGCAATGCTGTCTCCCTCGGCCTGAAGACTGCAGGCCATGGAATTTAGGTTGTTATTAACCAAACGATCCCGGGTGTGCTGGCTGGCTTCTACATGTTTGTGTGTAAGGTACCTAAGAAGAGTGCTTTATTTGGCGACATTTTCACGGGATATAGTTCTGCGATGTGCCCGTAGAAGATATCCCAGGCCTCCGGTATGGCGTTCCTCCTGAACTTAAGCCACATGCGATTCTGTATTTCTTCGACGTAGGCCCACACTTAACGCCCTGGAATACGTCCGCATTGACGCTGTCCCCGTTTGAGGTGACTCCAAAATGCCTCCACAGCCTGAGTGTGGATCCCCGTGTACCGGTTGACAAATTCTTTCGACTGGTTTACCGTCCCGTGGGTAAACCCCATGTCTTTGAGGTTCTGGTAGCTACTCCAGCAATCCGTTGCGATCGCTCTTCCTGGGTTAGCCCGCCTCTTAATTATGGAACACATGCTTTGCTCCTTACGGTTACTTAGCTGCTCACATATGGCCTTCTTCTGCACCGTATCGTACATTCCCAGGACCCACAGTTGTCCTGTTCTCCGGCCCCGGTTGTACTTCGGACGAGCGATCCTAGACTCGGCTATTTCAACTTTAACACCAGGTCCACCTATGGTGGACGCTACCCTGTTTAGGGTGTTTGAACAAACATTTCGCAATATTGCGAAGCAGCAAGCAGCCGCTTCGTTGGCTAATCCGCATACGGCTGCAGCTTCCTGCACAATTTTTCCTGCAACAAATGCCAGACACATATTCACCAGTTTCCGCAATGTTGAGCGGCTGCCAAAAATGGACTTAGAGCGCAGTAACTTCTTCTTGTGGCATTTCACGCATCGGAAGATGTACCCATCATCATTTTCGGTGAGGATTTGCAAGAACATCCTTCCGCCGCACGCGCACCTTAGGTCCGTAGGTCCGTAAGCAAAGGGCTTTGCTTTGGAGGTTGGCCACCAGTCCCGGCGAATTAAGCGAGAAGTCTGGCCTTTCGTATGGTGTAGGTGACTCCAATCATAGGGACCTTGGCAATCTGTGGTCCGGGCTGAAGCACAAATGGATGACCATATATAAACATTTTCCGATTGATGCCCCTTCCGACACGCCTCACGTACACGGCAATCAGCCTACTTTCGGTGATGGGTAAAGGGCATACAAGGCTGCGGCGTCGCGCGGCCACTGCTGGGGGGACTGTGGGGCGTATCCGTCCCTACCCTGGCTTCCGCGGTCTGCTTCGATATGGTGTTACTTCCAGAGTCTGCAACAGTGCCGCTGTAATAAGGAGAGAATTCGCGGGAAGTAAGTACTAATGCGCGCCAGTACGTGCAACGATAGACTCGCCAAGCACTATTCTTCTTTTCGTCACATTAAATGTATTATTTCGCACGTTAGCATACCGTTTGAAATCTTTGCATTATGCAGCATTTAACACGTGTTCTATGGGTTCTTACCACTGCATTCCAAAAATGGATGTCCGGCTGCCGATTGATGGCATAATTTGGCTATTTCAAATGACTTGTGTCGACTACCGGAACCCTTCCCATTCGCCATTGGTTGTAAGATCAGGCGAGCCAATCTTATGTGAACTTGAAATTCGGTATTCAGTTTCTTCCATATTCCAGACCCATTACCTCTTTCTACTACATTTACTTGGTTCTTTCGCTACTTTTTTAATTGTTCCCACACATTTTACCAATCGTTTAACCAATTATTAGTTCAGTAAAACAAATTTAAGCGGCAATATGAAATTTCTTTAATTTTCGTCATAACTTAACGTCGATTTGCTCCTTAGTGTGCCCCACCCTTACTATCCCCTCTAACCAGGTGCCCGTTTTGGAGTAGGGCGCGCTTCGTGCGCACGTAGAGGGCCCCCCGAGTGATTTCTACCGAATAGTCTTTCCACTGATGTCTGCCAATATTCACATAACAACCTTAGAATACGCAAGCGAAGAGCTAACGAAAATTCTGACCGAGCTCCAACTCCAGTTCCTATGGACACCTGCCTACAAAGAAGATTCACGGTCGCATGTAAGCTTATTGCACAATGTATGCAACAGTCGGCTGCTGGTTAACTCGACAGACGCCGTGGTTGTGACGGAGGAAAACAATGGAAGACATATCAAGGTGCAACAAAGTATGCGCCATAAATGCAGAACTCGAAAACCACGTCGAAGTCGACGCATATAGGCAAACGCTAGTGTTATTTTCTGGTTACTCAT